GATCTATAATGCTTCTAGATTCAGGATGCAAGATTGGGAATAGGACTGCACATCTGGGAGAACCCAGTAAGCCCACATAGATTACACATACCCACAGCTGGCCAAAAAGGTTTTGCTGCTTGAGATCCAAGCCAAGTCACAGAAGGCCAGCCAGATTTGCTGTCATGGAAGCTGCTGTCTGAGGCAGAGGCCTCTCAGTCTGGTGGACATATCTGCAATTCTGAGACCGTGTTGTGGATGCCAAGGGCATCTGGGGCAAGAGTCGAAAAAGTCAACACTGTGGCCAGACAATCACCCTGTCCCTTTTTGCATGCAGCACACATAAAGATGGGCGGCACTTTGTGTGGTCGCAACACCACTTTTTGGACTTTCCTGCTGGATTCTATCATAAAATAGTTGTCCTGATGGGCTTTGTGTTCATAAAATGGCTGCCAGGAAGGATGTGGCCAGCTGCAAACACCTCTTTACTGGAAGACAAACGGACAGGATTGTTTTCAGCTACCACTTCCTAGCTGCCCGATATGCTCCGTACCTCTCTATCTTACGCTGTCCCTTCCTCCGTGAGCTACTTGATTCTTGGTGAGTGCGTATTGTCACACTGAAGATTAGCATATCCCAGTCTACCAGCTGAGGACATGATCGCTGGCCTGGCGGGTTTGCTGCTTGGGTGCTTGCTCATAAAAAGAGCAATTGTCACGTTGTGTCAGCTTGAGGGTGAAAAATATCCTCATGAAGGTACAAAGAAAGGGACTGAATGGATCTTGGGAACCTGATCTAACTGATAAATTAGTTGGGTGGGCAAGCTCCAGGCCCATGGAATCTATTACTATTATAATTATGTACTATATTCACCAGCCTTAATGTACGGCTGCAGGAGTGAACTACAGTGATCTAGCTGGTGAATATAGTAAATAAGAAGAAGAGAAGAGAAAGAACTGGAGAAAATCACAAAAAACAAAGACCTGCAAATAGAAGTAGAACGACTGTGGCAAAAGAAAGCAAAGATAGTACCAATAGCAATAGGAGCATTG